AAACTCTATTATATTCAACACGCTCAAGTGCAAAAGTGTCTGGGAGAAGGTGAGCCTTACTTTCAGGTTTACCAGTTGTTAGTTGATGAGGTACTTATTGAAGCAAACAGATGGCGGTACTGCATCGTTCTTAAATTCAGCGCAACCGTCAAATTTATGGGGAATCATAATCCCCTCATGTATCCTTCGGCAATAATAACAAACAAGTGGGATATGTAAAGTCCATGAGGAGAAGGAACCTGCAAAATGTAAATATATTCGCTAGCTACTAAGATTAGTTGAGCAAGGAAAACTCGTTACGCGTAAGCAGCAGAAAGGTTGAATTGAAGCCTCTGTTTACCAACAAAAGGAAGGTCAAAATCACCCAAAAATAAGTGGCCAATTCAGAATTGCTTTANAATTGCTTTATAAAACTGATAAGCAGCTTTTATTTTACATCAACCAGTTTGGCGGGTGTATTTGAATTTGCCTCCCGCAACCGATCAGGTTATTATGCTTGTAGACCAAAGTTCCAAACCGCACTACCTCTCTGCTGTTGAGACTGTCAGTAAATTTTTGACTTCCAGATGTTTACCCGCTTATCAAGTGACGTTTCTCAGCAAGCTTGTTTTTGGAGAATTTATAAGCATCCAGAAGACGTGCTGACCTATCTTTGTCAAGTGGTTGTGCAAACTTCTCTTGGTTCTCCATGTTAATTTTGAGCCATCGTTCATTTCCTACAATTTGTTTTAAACGACACAGCGCGTACGTTTACGCTATTTACCCAAATGCATCTTTTGGGCTAACTGTCGAAAGGAAATGGAAGGGAGTGGAATCTTTAGGTTTAATCAGTTTTGTTGAATTTTATCACTGTAGTGCTTAATATTCTGTCCATTGCAACTAGTGGACAAATGCCCCGGAAGTAGTAAGTTGCATGGATTACTAGAAAACTTAAAAACCATAGAGGTAAAACGCTTTCTTACGGACAGTGAAGAAATATATGGGATGTCCAACTGCGTAATCACCAGTATTTTGTGAAAGTTCATATCTCACAGGCCTCGCTAATATATTCACGAAACAATCTGTACAGATCCCCTGCAAAAATGAAACACATTCTGTGCGCTTAAAAATGNGCTCTGAAGTTCCATGAAACATATTGCCCTGAAGTTCCTATTTATATTGCACGACCTATGTTTGTTCCATAATCTGATCACCTGATCACTCCTGGTCAAGAGTTATTCATAACTAAGCAACGATACAGTGGGCTGAATGGGACAACATATTTTCGTCGGAATGTCCCGACACGTTGATGAATTATACGCCCCAGCTCCCATGCCTGTGTTTTACTAGCTGGAAATAAGGGATCTTTATTTTAAGGAAGACACCCAAAATGATAATTTTACAATCATGCAATCGCAGATGGATTTTGGATCTGCACTGTTGCAAAGTTATCCTCATTACTCCATTGGTCAGTTCTGGTACGTATCCTTATCCGGGCAGCGTAGAAGGTTGAAAATGGAAAAAATCACTTAACACCTTGGTCCTTGTGTATATCTGACAAATTCTTATGCGATAGCTTGCTGCTGATCAGCCACCGTATTCTGACAAGCAATGCTTTCACAAATCTTGTTGACTAGGGGCTTTTAGTGAGCATGATCCGTTTTCGTTATTTAAGCTTTCCAAGCTCTATGTAAAAGAGTAATAAAAGCGTGATATTGGGCGTTTTCAGGGGTCCATTTCTGCATCCATTTTACGATAGTTCAACCGCTTGCACACAGAATTTGGCAGGTTGACAGCATCCCAGCCACTCTTATTCAATTGTGAAAAAGATTTCCGCAACGTTGATTTTGCTAAGCAAGTTTTATTTATTACATTATAATGCTAGGTGAGACACAATCCAATCTAGTTCATCGAATGCGCTTGAACCACTGGTATTATGGTGCGTGTGACCACCTTTGTTCCAAATAGAAGTGGACATGGTTTTGCTGGCCAGGTCATTTTAATCCCTGTCAATCCCGTCCCAGAGATGCACCACATTGTGTTAGATGTCATTCACCGGTAGAATAAAGGAAGCCTCATGCTTGCAACATGAGGCCCCATAGTGATATAATGATTACGGTAATTTTACACACACTAACTGATGTGAAATATGTGATTTATAATTTGAGCAAATGCCCTGTCTAATCAGTAAAATGTAATTGAATGATCAAATAAGTCGCAAACATCAATGTGAATTTAGATATGATTTCGTGCACTCAGAAAAGAAAGACGCTAACCCTACGTGTTGAGCCAGAAAAAGTTAATATTGACCCTCTGAAATAGTATATTCTTAAGGTGGTTCAATTAAATCAAGTGGACCAACTTCCTAAGTTGTATGCCGTCATTATCATGTTCGACAATCAGGGACATTGAAACAAGCCTATGTATAGTGCACCCAAATAAAACAAGATGAGACCACATGGGGTATGGTTGCTTGGCTTGGCCGCAGCCGGAATAACCCGTCAATAGCCTATAATATTTGGGCACCATGGTTTTCTGCACAGTATTCAATGTTTTCTTTGACGCCTATGTACCGATCGTCTAAAATTTACGCGCAGCTGTTCAAGTTTGTAAGCTGACCCTGGAGAGCTTTAAACATGCATCGTGCCAGAAAAAATAATGCCGATTTTAAATTTGGAATGCCGCAGAAACAACTTACTTGGAGCATTTTACTCGGTCATTCACTCTTATTATAAGTGAAAGAAGTGTGGTCCATTCGCCCATAGTTTAGGTCCTGGTGTTACTCAAGGTGACGTCAATGTCTCGTGACTAACCACGGTTTCTCGTCAATGCACGCGTCAAAGTTGCTTATGTGATAGATTCCCACTTACTTTTATACATTTTCGTGTCTCGGAAATAAACCGCTTTATGCTCTAGGAAATGAACCAATAAGACAAACATGATTATGTCGTTGATAAAACATAGTTACATTTCTTTGGAAAACTTGTCCCGATGGTAGCTAGAAACAGGAGTGGAAGACAGCATCTGGCTTATTAAATTATACTGACATACCAAATTCTCCTACTGGTTGGTCTTTGTTCATCTAGAAAGATGCATACCTCTGATACGAAGTTTTAAAATACATTTTATTTACGTTAACCATTTGTCCGTATAATATGTAGCCTTTCATATCCAATTAACGTTTACCGAGACGACGACATCTGATGTCCTTTCTCTTATGAATGAACCGAAGCTTCTTGTTATCAGCAAACGCTATGCCCAAAGCGCGTAAAACTGAAGGATCATCGAGGCAAAAAAATTATGGGACAATAATAATGCTATAAAATGTACTGTTTTCTGTGCAACACTGATATTAGGGATACGACCAATGTCCAGCAATGAGTTCCCTTTTTTCACTGACTGAAATTAAATGATCGGATTAGCCAAAAGCTTTAGTGTGCCTGCGTTTTCTACGCGTAGCATTGCGGTGTGCAATATGCTAGCACTACATACTGGGTTAGACTGCACGAAGAGTCAGCCGCAATTCGAAATATTGCTCTCAATTTGTCAAACAAAACAGCATTGCTTCAGCTATGAGATTAGCGGTTTAACGGTGCGGGATGATGATCTAAATTTTTCAGCTACACACCGTGCAGGACATGTACATTGGCTGCAACCCACTGCCACTCATTTCACTGCTGCCACCCATTTCACCTAGTTTCATCAAAAATGTAAAACAGGTAGGCCATATACAAGAAAAGCGATAGCAAAAACTGGACGAATTCTTCCAGTAATAACGTCAACGTTGAAGTGCGCGTCCTTATGCTCTAATAGTTTGTGCAATTTCCACCTGATAACCAGTGAGTACTTGAATGATGAGCCCTTATTTTCGTCTTTTGTTAGTTGATTAGATGTCGGCATATCTTGACAAATGTCCACTTTCAGTTCTACAGCGAGGAAAACCTCAGAGTTATCAGGCTCGTGTAATATGAAAAAGGCGTGTTTTTTACACCGACATTTTGGCACCACCTTAGAGAACGGGTTTTCGCTAACACAAATGAACCGTTCCATGAATAACCAAAAATTGCCATGTACTTATCAATCCAAAATGGAAGACCCTCTTACTATGAAAACCGCATGTTTTTACTGCATTTGATGAGATATTTTCAACGTTCATTTTAACTGAAATCGATTTCTTTTCGGTGTTGATCATTTACCTGCAGTATGATACGGCGATTCGCACGGCGCCATCAGTCGTCCATCAGCTGTATTCCTATTTTAGCAGCATTGAGCTTTCTCCACCCATTCCAAGAATCGCCTTCCCAAAACCAATTCCGCTTATGTATATCAATCGTCAATGTATGGGCTTCTGTGTGGTTAGTGGGGCTGAATATGTCTATACACATGCTAGATTTATATCCATCTTGCAGGCCCAAAATTCCACACTATACATTAAATTGTCGCGCATTTGCTTTTACGACCAGCGTGATAAAGATGTGTTTGGGCCACTCGTTTTGCCCTCGGAATCACTGCTTCGAAAATAAACTTTCTAGGAGTAGTCGCTCAGTTGTTTAGCGCCCCTCTTTAGATTGGTTTCTTTTGTGATTTCCAGTGTATTCTTTTTAGCTGTGTGGATTCATCTAACATTGTTGTAATTCTACGTCCGTGTTCCATTACCAGCACATTTGAGTTGGCGATTCCATTGCCCCAAAATCTCCCACAGTTTATTTACATTCATAGCGTTCAACTTAGCCAGAATTGGAGAAGGCTTGAACAACATTCTGCTGTAAGCTAGCTATTGCCACAATTGGCTCGGCATCAAGAGACACAGGAATTAGAGAATAGAATTTATTTGCACTTTACCCAAGAGGCTGCAGTTATCCCCTGCAGAAATGTTGTTCTATTCCATTGATATTCATCAACAGTTAGGCTTGGTGATTCTCAATGCTACAAAAGTCAGCTGTTCACGCGGAAGCACAAACAATTTTAGTTAAATCGCATTTGAAAAGATAGCATGAGTATTATATGAATTCGTCACCACAACTAATATAAACTTCCTTGCAATTCACAAGTATCGCTTTACCTGGAATAGCTTCTCGTATATATCGACCTGTGATGTAATGGTTCAAATGATACAATGAGCCCCCAGTACAGTGTATGTTGCAGATTTGTGAGGAGCAGGAGAAAAAATTCAGCTCAGCGACCGACGTTCGAATAGTTGAGCATCGCGTTGCAGTGCAACACCTGGATGTTACATCACCTACAAATTATGACTTTCCGGACTAGCTTAATCAGTCACATCAAACCTAAAATTATCATTAGATAAAGACATATGCTGACGGCCTTGTTCCTTGTAAATCAAAATCGAAAATTGTTTTAACCAGCACACATCATCTGCGTAGTACAGCTGATAACCTTGTACGATTTGTTGCAAATTTTCTTGTTTAATATATCACCACCGTATTCATTCGAACAATTTGCACCACCCAAATCTTTTTTATTCCGTTAGGTTCATCATTTGATGAGTGTTTAAAGAAGGGTAAGACAATTCCTTATTTACCTGCGGCCAATACGAATGAAAGAGCTAAACAAAAGTGCTGTTTAGATTATCCAAGGAGGCTGCAGCTAATAACACCAGGTAAAAAATTCGGTGACGAATTGTATGAGGAATTGTATAATGGTGGTTTATTGTTGAAATTGTAGTCAAAATTAAAAAAATGATCATATGGTGGATGAAGGCAAACCAATGGCGTACCATCTTTCGTAGTAGATTTGTCACGGACTCATTCTGTTAGCTGAGGCACTATTCAACGCCTCTACATAGGCGTGCCACATTCAGGTCACGTTAATTGGAGCGCAACAGAGTGCCCCTTGCCGCTAGAAACTAACAGGCCACCCAAGTCACATGCACTGCTATTTGCACACGTTTCAAAATTCAGAAAATTAAACGCAAAATTAGGGCAGTACAAAGTTTCCCCAAGGAAAACTTTCGTGCACCTGAAGAACTCATTCCAGTCTCCCAAATTTTAAAACAAAAGCAAGTCTTGGTTTTGTTACATTCGATCAAGACTAGGTTTGCAGTCTACTGACACAATAAATATCTATTCTACTGGCCATAAGCACTGGAGTAGTAATTGTGATAGTGTGGATACTGGTAAAGGGAGAAAGGATTTTGAACTAATTTTCATATTTTTGCAGTTTGCTTAGAACAGGGCACCTCATTGTTTAGGTGCGTTTCATACCTGTGAAATAGAATGTAAGGCAGCTTCAAAGTGCTCGGAAATTCATGCATGTCAGAATTTGCAAATATTGTTAAAAACACTAGACAAATGCGAAGGATATATGCGGAACATAATGAAGTGTGATTTTTGTCACTTACATCGAACAAGTATTATTATGCTTAAACGGTAAGTAGTTTTCCTCCGAAAAACTAAGAAACGAAAAAATCACAATTTTGGCGCAAATATTCAATATTACACATAAGACGAAATGGGGCATCTAAGCAAATCTCATGCCTATAAAGTGATTTGGGAAAAGCTATTGTAATTAAGTCCGTGACCGTTTCAAACAAGTGTGTTGCTTACCTGGGAAAATGACCTGCGGTTTATGATGTTGTAATATACTCTGAAGGGTCTGAAGTAGTCATTTTGCTGTTAGGTAGTAAGGTCGCTTTATAACATTTGTTCATTAGCAAACTTAACGTCACAGCACTTTGTGTGGAAATACTCTATAGTTTCTTCGAGTATGCTTTTATACTGAAATGAGCGCCTAATTTTGCTCGTTACAGAGTGACCAGAGTAGATGATGATGGTAAAACCACACTAACGATAAAGCCGACTATTTTTTAATGTTGGTATGTTGTATTCTTACCTCCATTATCAATGAAGATAGCAAATCGCTACGGGATCCAGCGAAAGGTGAGGCTGGCTACTATTAAATTTATGAAAACAGGCCGTTGACGTCACAGTACGAGTGAATTGCTTGTGCGAGCAGATTTGGAAAATACAAAGCAAACAACTTGCATGGTAATCCGGATTGTAATGAAAAATGTATGTCTTTGTCAGCTGAGTGGACTCGTCTAATGTAGAAGTGTTTATTTGAGAGCACACGCACGTTCTCATGAAGCAAGCTAATGAAGTCCCTCAGTTGTCAGTTATTTGATGTACGGTGACCAACAGCTAACAAACCATACAGGAAGTCTTTTTAAAACGCAGTTCTACAAGTTGGATATTCCATTTGTGGTTTACACACAGCAGATTACATCAACATGTGAAACGTTCGGGATAACTCTTCGGCGCTGATTGTTACCACATTATAAATGCTCGGACCAAAAAATAGATGGCGCGGTTCTTTTGACAAATTGTGAAAATTTTGGGACGGAAATTAGTTACCATAAATGTTTACTTGTTGGTTCGAAAGCCAACAGTGAACAAGAAACTTTGACAACGTCTATTTACCAACAGTGTACACATGAAATTAAATTAGATTAATAAATGAGCATAGAACAAGTGAATGAACGCGCTTCCCAAAAATGCCTGCTCCCATCAACCCAAGCTCAATTATGTGTGCAAATTAGTGAGTTCCCTTCAATATTTGTTTCCATGCTCCTGCGAGAAGCCAACCAGCCCAGTTCAGGATTACACGCTCTCTGAAGCTGAGCGATATATATGGTCTGTGGTTAGCAGGCGTTCTTCTCCCCAGGCGATGTATAATGGAGCGTGTAGATAGCGGGTATAGCGGATAAGCCAATTAGACGAAACAAGACCAATCTGGTTAAGCCCTAAATATTTGTGCAATTTATCGCTGCAAACGGCAATACGTTAACGTTGCCTCAGAGCACGTTTGTCTTATTTTGGGGAAGTAGTGTAATTTCATACAGTTACACTGTAACACGTGAGAAAAATTATTTGATTGACTGACGGTTTTGGGCGCA